AGGAAGTCTCACGGTGATGGTGGATTGGAATTTAAAGGTCTGAGTTGGAGTACCAGCTCTGTCATTTACTAACTTTTGGCATTGGTTCCTTGACCTCTTCAACATCCTCTCTTATCACATTGGTCAAAGTATTGAGAATACAAGTTTCCTTGGTGTAAAGGAAACTTGAGCACAAGACCTCAGGGCGTGTGCAAGAATTAAATGACCAAAAGTGTGTGGTCTGACACACTACCTGGCTGGTATAGGCACTGGATAAAGGTTTTGTTAAAGGAAATTTAAATTATCTACCATGTTTAACTTCATTAGTTTTCTGTTTCCTCTATCACCTGGATCAAAAAGATTTCAGATTTTCCTTAGTCTTTGAGAAGGCTACATTTTTTTCTTTTTTAAATTTAATATTTTTTAATTTCCAGTTTTCGCTTGCAAGCATTGTATCCTGGTTACACTCTCATCACCCCTCTATTCCTGTTGGTCCCTTCTTCTTTCACACCTGTCACCCTCTTACCATGATGTCTCTGTGTGTGCTGTTGTAGCCCAGGTGGCCATAGCGGCTGTGTGCTCATGTTGGCATGGCTATTTTATAACACCCTTCTCCATTCTCCAGTGTTGTTGGTTTTTGTTTTAACCCTTTGCTCTTTGAGGGGCCTGCCACCCAGTTCCCAAATAAATACACAGAGTCTTAATTCTTAATTATGAATGTCCGGCCTTAGCTTGGCTTGTTTCTAGCCAGCTTTTCTTAATTTAATTAACCCATCTTCCTTTGGCCTCTTAGCTTTTATCTTTCTTTCCTTTTAATTCTGTGGTTTGTCATGTAACTGGGCGACTGGTCCCTGCAGTCCTTCTCCTTCTCTTTCTAATCCATCTTCCCAGATTTCTCCTCCTCTTTATTCTCTCTGCCTGGCAGCCCCACCTATCCTTTCTCTTGCCTTGCTATTGGCTGTTGAGCTCTTTATTAGGCCAATCAGTTGTTTTAGACAGGCAAAGTAACACAGCTTCACAGAGTTAAACAAATGCAACATAAAAGAATGCCACACATCCTTGCATCATTAAACCAATGTTCCAAAGCATAAACAGATGTAACAAACCTTAAAATAATATTCTGTAACACTGTAGCCCTCATGGTCTTTGCACCTCCCTCTTCCACAATGCTCCCCGGGGCTTAGAGTGATAGAGATGTTCCAGTTAGGGTGTAGTTCTCAGGAATCTCTTACTCTTAGAACTCTGATATGTTGTGAGTCCCTGCTTTACCTGTTGTTGCTCACAGCCCCAGGAAGCTTCTCTGACAGCTGTCCCTGTCTGTAGCTATCAATGTATTTAGAAAGTAGCTTAATTGCCCATGTAGTGTTTGAGTTTTGGTACAGGGTTTCTCTATATAGCACTAGCTATCCTGGAACTCACTATGAAGATCAGACTGGCCTAAGAATTGCAGAGATCAGGTTGCCTCTTTTTCCCACATGTTGGGATTAAAGGTATATGCCACCATACCTGGCTAATGGTCCATTTAGCAAAAATATCAGTATTAGATTCCTCTATAAGGCTTTGTCCCTAGTCATAGGCTTTTGACCACGTTTATAGTGTGAGGTATGTGTTCCCTCTCATGAAGCACATCTCAGACCCCATCAAAAGCACCTGGTTACCCTTAGAACATACACGCCACTGTGTACCTGTGAGTGTATTTTGGCTGGCAAGTCAATCGTCTATTGGATGGTTGATGACTTTTCTTCTAAATATCTTGCATAGCATTTTTGAGCACCAGGAACACTGATCATCAGGGAGGAAGCTTCCAGACCACTTCTAACTTAATTTCTCTGTATTCTGTGAAGACAGTGTGCTTTCTTCAACAGCGGGTCTCATTATCTATATTAGTTTGCTTTCTGTTGCTATGTGAGAACAGTTTGGGGTGGGGGAAGGTTCATTTTAGCTTACAGGTCATAGTACAGCATTGCGAGAAGCCAGGTCAGGAGCACAAGAGAGAATCTGGAGCAGGAACTGAAGCAGAGGCTTTGGAGGAGTGAGGTGTGCTGGCTTGCTTCCCACGGCTTGCTCAACTGCTTTGTTATATAACCTAGGGCCACCTGGCCACCCACAGTGGCCTGTGCCCTCCCTCATCAATCATTAGTCAAGACAAAGCCCTACAGACATGCCCCCAGGCCAGTCTGATGGAGACAGTTCCTTTTCTAATTCCCACCCCCAGAATTCTCCCCGTCTATTTTTCTTTTCTTTTTTTTTTTAAAGATTTATTTATTTATTATGAATACAACATCCTGCCTCCATGTATGTCTGCACATACCAGAAGAGGGCGCCAGATCTCATTACAGATGGTTGTGAGCCACCATGTGGTTGCTGGGAATTGAACTCAGGACCTCTGGAAGAGCAGTCAGTGCTCTTAACCTCTGAGCCATCTCTCCAGCCCCTCCCGTCTATTTCTTTTTTTTTTTTTTTTTTTTTTTTTTTTTTTGGTTTTTCGAGACAAGGTTTCTCTGTGGCTTTGGAAGCTGTCCTGGAACTCACTCTGTAGACCAGGCTGGCCTTGAACTCACAGAGATCCGCCTGCCTCTGCCTCCCGAGTGCTGGGATTAAAGGCGTGCGCCACCAACGCCCGGCTTTCCCGTCTATTTCTTTATGACACGCATTTTACTCTTCTCATTTTAGTTTTATTTCCATACTGTTACCACCTCTACCTCATGGCTCCTTCCTTGATTCCTGGCTTCTACAGATATTCTCTCCAGTTTAAACACAGAAATTTAAACTCTGAATCTAGGGCTCACATACAAGAGAGGACCTATACAACATGTCTTTCCAGGGCACTGGTTACCTCACTTGGTAGAGTATTCTCCAGTTCCACTCATTTTCCTGCAAATTTCATTTCTTTTTTCATTATCCATTTCATCTGTTGGAGGACATCTAGGCTGATTCCATTTCTACGTATTGTCAACAGGGCAGCAATGAACATGTAAACACAAATCTCTGTCATACGGTACAATGTCCTTCAAGTGTAATGCCCAGGAGTGATACAGCTGGGTGAAATGCCCGGCTTCAGATTGGTTTTGAGTTACATTTTCCTGGTGGTTAATAATGTTAAACACTTAAAAAAATAGTTGTGAGCCGGGCGTTGGTGGCACACGCCTTTAATCCCAGCACTCGGGAGGCAGAGGCAGGCGGATCTCTGTGAGTTCGAGGCCATCCTGGTCTACAAAGCGAGTTCCAGGAGAGCCTCCAAAACAATACAGAGAAACCCTGTCTCGAAAAACCAAAAAAAAAAAAAAATAGTAGTGGGGTACTCTATTCATAGAGTGATTGCTTTAAGTAGGTCCTCAGATGACAGGCAGGGTTTCTCTTTGTAGCTGTGGCTGTCCTAGAACTCTCTCTGTAGTTCAGGCTAGCCTTGAACTCACAGATCTTCTTGCCTCTTTCTCCCAGTTGCTGGGATTAGGGGCAAGCTACCCTGCCCGGCTTTGTTTTTTTTGGGGGGGGGAGTGGGGGCCAGTGTTTCTCTGAGTATCCCAGTTTTCCCACTGTTGGTATTACAAGTATATGCCACCGTGGTCACTGCATATTTTCTGATAATGAGAAGTTAATAGACATCCTACTGACATAGATTAATTTCCATTTTGGTAATTACCCAGATTTAGAAATATTAATAAGCAAGTCTAATCATTCCTAGCATTGGCTTGGTGAGCAGGAGCACGGTGAAGAAGAAAGCGCTAATCTTTAGATACTGGCGGAAGTGGAACTCCCTAACCCTTCACTTAGCACCTGTGATGTCTCTGTGAGAAGGAGTCCATCCAAGCATTCCTGCCTAATTTAGGGACAATGTTCCACAGTGGGGTTGTAAGCTTCTATGGCTCAACTTTGGTGACAGCTTCGATTTGCTACAAGAAAGGTGTGACTGAAAGGAGACCACTGTGAACTCATCAAGTCTGAATTTTATTTCACCCAGAAGCCGAGTGATGAAGGGACGTTCTTCTGTGTTACGTGTATCCCATGATTCTTCTGGTGCCCTTCCACTCGGGTCGTTGCTGGGGCTATTGTGCCAAGTGTGAAGATTCTGCCTTACTCCCAGGCGCTGACTCTGCCCCTGCCCCTGAGGGTCTGCCCTTGTACTCGCAGTTTAGGAACCTCTGTAAGTACAGCAAAACTCTCGTTAATTTGATGTTCCTGCTCAACATCTGCAAAGTGATGAGGCAAGCTGACAAGGTGAGAATGTTTCCTGATGTCATTGGTACTTTATTTTAAAATGTAGACAATATTTGAAATAAAAGAAACACTCAGAGCTCAAATGCTTCCAGTAACTTCCAACAGCAACAATGCATGCATTCACAGAGGAGTGTAGCTGTTAAAAGCCACATCCTTGTTTCCAGTTCCTACATTTCACTTTATTGCGTTTTGTAGATTTTTTTTCTAAATTCAAGGCTTGTGGCAACTTTACAAGGAGGGAATCCCTTGATACCATTTGTTCAGTAGTGTGGAATCACTTCACTTCCTGTCTCTTTCACATTTTGGTAATTTTTTTTTTTTTTTTGGTTTTTTCGAGACAGGGTTTCTCTGTGGCTTTGGAGGCTGTCCTGGAACTTGCTCTTGTAGACCAGGCTGGTCTCAAACTCACAGAAATCCACCTGCCTCTGCCTCCCGAGTGCTGGGATTAAAGGTGTGCACTATCAATGCCTGGCTACATTTTGGTAATTTTTAAAAATTAATTTATTGTGTGTGTGTGCTCTATCTGCATGTACAACTTTATGCAGAAGAAGGCATCAGATCCCACTAAAGATGGTTGTGAGTCACCTTGTGGTTGCAGGGCATTGAACTCAGGACCTCTGGAAGTGTAGTCAGTGCTCTTAACCACTGAACCATTTCTCCAGTCCCAGTAATTCTTGCTGTATTTCAAAACTTTTCATTTTATGTGTGTTTTGGTTGTTTATGATCAATAATATTTTTAATAATCTGAATTTGTTCTTTGACAATTTCACATATATACATATATTATTCATTTACATATATGTTTATATATGTACACATATGTATTGTCTGTTGAAACTTTCACACACATATACATACATACACATATATTTCTGTTATTCGTATCCCCCACTCTGTTTTCCCTCCCATACTTGTCAGTGCCCCCCTCCTCAGATCCATTTCTCAAGTTCAGGTTTTTTGTTTGTTTGTTTGCTTAGTGACCAAAGAGTGTGGCAGTGACCATGGTTATGGAACTGCCCAGTGGAGCCTGATGAACTCACCAGTGGGTACAAAAAGCCATATTTTTGCAACATATTTGATAACATTGTGAATCCTGAGATTTCATTACTTACTGGAAAAACCCATTTCTAGTTTTGGTGTGACTCAACCATAGGACCCACCCTTTAATCCAAGATCTTTCTGTTTGAATATTGTAAACAGATTAAATAAAGTCAACCAAAGGTCAAGAGGCAGAGCAAGCAACCAGTTGACAGGAAGTGAACGTAAGATTATTAGGAAAAAAACAGAAAGTAATAGGGACTCAGGATGATGGATAGAGGAAGTAGAGGGGAGGAGCACTGAGTTGGAGGAGGCTTATTTGAGGCAAGGAGAGGCCTCTGGGATGATGGTGGAGGAGGAAGGTCAGCTGGGTGCTTTCTCTGCCTCTCTGACCTAGCAGGCTGTGTAAGTTAAGAAAGAGCGTCAACAAGATCAAAATCAGAATAGTCTCCCATTTCTGTGCCTGGATCCTTTCTACTATGAGCTGGCTGCCATGGGTGTCCAGGACATTTGTGGGACGTTGCTTCTGGGAAGTCAGATATCAGCTTAAATGAAAGGCTATCTGGTTGTACATGAATATCAGGGATCAAATCATCTTCGATCTCGGTGCCATATGGTAGTGTGGTAGTTACCACACTATCAATTAAATCTGAGTCCTGGAAGCCAGAAGGGGTGACCATTACACTTGGTGGAATTTGAGGAGGACTAGGGGTGGTAAAGGGTATAGTGCTGTCTTCTTCAGAAGAGCTTGCCAAATGTTCTATTCTCTGGTCAGTGTGCTTTCCCTTGTTTTTGTGTTTACCATGACCATGACCACGACCGTGACCATACCCATGCCCATGCCCATGCCCATGTTCCACAGGATGTCCGTGGTCAGAGCCATCTTCTAATCTAAACTGATGTCCATGGCCAAGGCCATGTTGTTTCTGGTGTCCATGGCCAAGGCCATGCCTCTTTGGGGGCCAATGGCCTTGGTCATGCCCATGAGCAGGTCTTCGTTCGTTTTCTGGATCCTGCTCTTCTTGTACCACGGCAGTATAGGGTGGACTTACAGTTGTTCCTTCTTTTGTTTCTTGTACTTGGACTGACCGGAAAGGTGAAAAGCCTGGAGGCCTTCTCATCATTGTAATCTAAACAGGAAATATTAAGATGAATGCATTATGTTAGAACCACACTGTCAATGAGGGGAGAGGAGACTAAGACCCTGATGATGCCATTTTGGTTTACAACGGGGTGATTTTTTTGCCGGATTTTAAATACTATATTAATTTTCTAGAAAAATTGATTAACAATATGTCTTCTCTTTGGATTGTTCTTAAAACTTGTGAACTTTGTGGTACTGGAGATTGAACTCTGTACCTTATACATGTTCTTCAAGTACTCCATCACTGAGTTACATTTCCAGCCTTGCCTGACTGTTGTTCTTAGTAATACTCCAAGACTGAGAGTTTTTCTTCATTTGGAAGAACTGGGTAGTTGAACTACGTAATAGCTAGAGTACACTGTTTGATAACTGATATCACTTGTAATACAACCATTGCTGTTTTTATCCTTAATGGCCCGAGGCATCTTTACAGCTTTACTTTGTCAGATGAACAACTGTAGGACTTGCTCACAAGCTTGCCAGGAAGGCTTTTTGCAGTGTATTAGAGACACTATACAAATGACAAGGACCTAATATAGAAAAAGAGAGGTGGCAACTTGCACAAAAGTGTGGCTTCATTGATACTCTCCACCTCCACTTCTACCACCTGTGAGAGGTGACAGTCCAGAGTGAAACAACTTGGACTTCAGAGACATGCAAGATCTTCTCGCGATCAGGATCATGATGGGAAGGGTGAACTCTGATTTGACCTGCACTCAATGCTGCACAAACTAACTTCACTTTTCTGCGAAATAAACATAACAGCACCTGCCTTCCTAAGGACTGGGAAGAAAGTGTAAGAAGTTTATTACTGTGCAGAGCCTGGGACCTCACAGCATTCTAATCATCTATCTATCTATCTATCTATCTATCTATCTATCTATCTATCTACCTACCTACCTATCTATCTGTCTATCTATTTATTTTTGAGACAGGATTTCTCTGTGTAACAGCTCTGGCTGTCCTGGACCTCGATTTGGAGACCAGGTTGGCCTTGAACTCACAGAGATCCACCTGCCTCTGCCTCTGAGTGCTGGGATTAAAGGTGTGTGCCACCACCACCTGGCTGGCATTTCAAGTCTTAGTGTCCCATCTTTGATAACTAACGGAGCACTAGTCACAATGGGACATTCTTTAAAGACTTAAGAGGATGATGTAACATAGCCTTACAGACTTGGATCATGTGTGGGAACCCCTTGAGGACCTTTCAAAAATGCAGGTTAAGATTCATTAACTGTGGAAATGGGTAGGTTCATGTTTCTCACAAAGTCCTTGAATGTACAATGCATGGTGCTGCATGTGTCTCAGGCATATCTTGGAGGTGTGCGTCTAGTGTTAGCGCCTGGGCCGGCTCCTCACTACCAGCCATAGAACTTCCAGGGAACACTGACAATGAGTTCGGTAACCAAGAGGTTGCTTGTTCTCCTTTCCAGCCCTACAAATCAAGATCAGTGTAGAAACATACAACTTCTTACTATTTTAAAAAGATAGCCCCTCTCCCAGTTTGTTTTAGTAATGATTCTTTTTCAATACGCAGATACAGCTTTTGGAGTAGGCAGAACTGGTCCCAAGCTGACTGTCATTGAATTCCTACCATTTCTAATGCTCGGCAGTTGACGGTCGGTTCGACTTTGTTCTCCCAAGGTCTCATGTACACGTTAGCATTGCAGTTGAGACTTTGCTAATCATGAAAGCAGAAGGCAAGAGAAAAATCGTCAGTCATGAGGCGGGTGAGAAGTGACTCTTGAAGCATCACACAGGCACAGTGCTACTCACGCCAACGGGCTTGACCTCACAATTTGCTGTCAGTTCTGTGTTGCTCTCCTTGGAACATGCGGTTTCTCTGGCTATGAACTCAATGAAATATTTCATTCCACCTACCACCTGTAAAGTTAATTAGAACAAAACACGTGTTTAATAAGGATTTGTATAATAAATTTTACACTTTTACTCTGATGAGTGTAAAGTTAGAACCTTGAAATTTTAATTATATATTGACCATATTAAATAGTCCTACTCCCCAAGCTATCAATATCTGATACAGACTTTCAGTTTGTGTGCATATCTAAGATTTCTAGATATTAGTTGGGCTAGCTTCCTTTACTAAGTAGAAGAAAAGCAGGCTACACTGTTTGATATACACATATCAATTTTAATGTTCAAAAGCTGCAAACTCTCTAGTAACTCGGGGATTAAGTTACAATACAACCTGAGGTATGGGGGGGCAACCTTAAATTATTTTCTTTACACATTTTTTTTTGTTGTATTGCTGTCAAACAGACAGTAAATTCTTATGTAGATAAAATTATGCAATTAGGAAAATATTTAGATTATCTATTGTTCTCTTATATTTTTAATATTAAGAAACCTCTTAAATCCTTAAACTATCTATTTATTTATTTGAGACAGGGTATTACTATGTAGCCCTGGCTGGCTTGGAACTCACTATGTAGACCAGGCTAGCCTCAAACTCACAGAGATCTCGTCTCTGCTTCTTGGGTGCTAGAATTACAGGCGTGTTCTACCATGATCAGCCTGAGATCTATTTATCTTTATTTTACATGTATGGGTGTTCTTGCATGTACATCTGTGCAACACACAGGTGTAGTAGTGTCCTCAGAGCCCAGAAAAGGACACCCCGATACCCTGAAACTGGAGTTACAGAAGGGTGAGAGCCACCATGTGGGTCATGAGACTTGAACCCCAGTCCTCTAAAAGAGCAGCCAGCTCTCTAAACCACTGAGCCATCTTTGCAGCCTTTCCATTTATGTATTTAGTAATGGTTTTAATCACTACATAGTGTCAATAAACAGTTGTCTAGAGCCAAATTTTGTGATCTAATTATATATTATAGGATTTAAATGTGTGTGTTTGGAGTATTACATAGCTATTGAAAAGAATTCGGAGCTGGAGACATGGCTCAGTAGTTAAGAGCACTGACTGTTCTTCTAAAGGACCCAGGTTCATGGTTAGCCTACATGGAGGCTAACAACTGTCTATAACTCCAAAGATCTGACACCCTCAAGCAGACATACATGCAGGCAAAGCACTAATACAAATAAACTATTTAAAAGAATGCATCCATACATATTGACCTGGAAAGACAGCTCTTATTTTAAAAAAAAGGGGGAATTACATACTGGTACCACAATCCCATTTTGTAAAAAACATCTGAAACCTTTTCTAGCTCTTTATGCTTTTATTGTTTTTGTTGTTGTTGTTGTTGTACTAAGGATTGGTGCTAGGACCCAGACAAGGCCCTATTTTTTTTTTTCCGAGGCAGGGTTTCTCTGTGGCTTTGGAGGCTGTCCTGGAACTCGCTTGGTAGTCCAGGCTGGTCTCGAACTCACAGAGATCCGTCTGCCTCTGCCTCCCGAGTGCTGGGATTAAAGGCGTGCGCCACCAACGCCCGGCCAGACAAGGCCCTATTATTTTTGGTTTTTTTTTTTTTTTTTTTGGTTTTTCGAGACAGGGTTTCTCTGTGGCTTTGGAGGCTGTCCTGGAACTAGCTCTTGTAGACCAGGCTGGTCTCGAACTCACAGAGATCCTCCCGCCTCTGCCTCCCGAGTGCTGGGATTAAAGGCGTGCGCCACCAACGCCCGGCTAAGGCCCTATTATTGAGCTGTATTCTCAACGTCTCTAATTTTAATTTTTTTAATTTGAGATATAATCTCATTATGTAACTCAGAGTGCCTCAGCCTTCCAAGTGTTAGAATTATAGGTGTGAACTGCCATCCTGGCTTCCTGATGCTGACTGTTCAACTTAATTCAGAGCTTGGGGTGGGGGTACAAATTCAACACACTTAGTAGGGTCTCAAGACTGCATCCACACAGCCACTACCAGAGGCATACTTATCAAGGTTTCCAATGCATGAAGGCTGAAGCCACTGTGCCCAAGTTTGTTCCTTTTTTTTTCTCACTAAAGAACACTATATGCCAATATAAATCCCAAATGTATTTATTTTAATTTTTTATATAAGTTAGAAAAAAGCTTGTTTCACATGTCAATCCCAGCTCCCTCTTTCTCACCTCCTCCCCTGCCCTCCCCACCAGGTCCCTCAGTCCCCTACCCAATCCCCAAATGTATTATAACATTAAAAAATAACTAATGAATAAATATTCATCAGAACCTAGGATATGGAGAGACATTCCTAGGAGAAACATAGTGGGAGCAAGCCTAAAGTAAAAGGAAAATGTTTAAGTTGATAAGCAGTAATGAAAATCATTTCTCAAAAATCAGAGTAAGTGGCATAATACAGTGGTGCATGCTTTTAATCCTAGCACTTGGGAGCAGAGGCAAGTAGATCTCTGTGAGTTGAGGCCAGTCTGGTCTGCATAGCGAGTTCCATGCCAGCCTGGACTATATAGTGATATCCTGTCTCAAAAGTAAAATAAAAATAAAAGTATTTAGGAATATATTTAACTAAAGAAGTCAAAGATCTCCACAATGAACTTTTCAACATGTTGGGAAAGGAAATTACAGAAGGTACTAGACAATAGAAAAATAGCCCATGTTCCTGGATAAGCAAAATTAATATTGTGAAAATGTCTATACTACCAAAATTAATATGTGGAATTAATACAATACCTATAAAAATTCCCATGTCATATTTCACAGCGTCAGAAAGAATAATACAAGAATTCATATGGAACCACAGAAGAGTGAGTGAGCAAAACAACCCGAAGGAGTAAGAACAATGCTGAAGCTATTGAAATAAATAAATAAATACATACATACATACATACATACATGCATACATACATATTAGAGCTGTAGTGATAGAGACAACCTACAGCCGGCACAAACAGACAGGAAGACCCACAGCACAGGAACCAGCCCCTAATGCCAACAGAAGGGGCTGCATGAAAATACAGTCTCTGCACAGCCAAGGAAACAGCAGGACACACAACCCACAGCATGGGGGTAATCTTTACCAACTACACTTCAGACAGAATTTACAAAGAACTGTAGACATTAAATGCCATGGGAGCCGGGCATTGGTGGCGCACGCCTTTAATCCCAGCACTTGGGAGGCAGAGGCAGGCGGATCTCTGTGAGTTCGAGACCAGCCTGGTCTACAAGAGCTAGTTCCAGGACAGCCTCCAAAGCCACAGAGAAACCCTGTCTCGAAAAACCAAAAAAAAAAAAAAAAAAAAAGCCATGGGAATAAAACTGTCAATCAGCAAATAGTCAAGCAAACTGACAGGAAGTTTCTTGTTTGTTTGTTTGTTTTGTTGGGGTTTTGGTGTGTGTGTGAGTGTGTGTGTGTGTGTGTGTGTGTGTGTGTGTGCGTGTGTGTGTGTGTATGTGTGTGTTTCCTGAGACAGGGTTTCTCTGTATTGCTTTGGAGGCTGTACTGGAACTCGCTCTGTAGACCAGACTGGCCTCGAACTCACAAAGATCTGCCTTCTTCTGCCTCCCTAGTGCTGGGATTAAAGGCTTGCACCGCCAACTCTAGGCTTGGTGTGTTTTTTTGAGACAGGGTTTCTCTGTGTAGCTTTGTAGACCAGGCAGGCCTCAAACTCACAGAGATCCTCCTGCCTCTGCTTCCCAAATGTTAGTATTAAAGGCATGTGCCAGCATGTCCAGCTCTGATAGGCAATTAAAAAAAAATACACAAATGATCAGTAACTGTTGGGGAAGTCTTATGCCAATAAAGCACTGTCTGGCCAACAGGGAATCTAGATAGGAGGGGCTAGGAGTCCAGGAGGATTCTGGGAAGGAGAAACAGAGGAGAGTCGAGATGTAACGCCATTGGGGTAGGAAGCCCGGAAACCTCTCCGGTAAGAGACATACTTAGATTAACAATTATGGGGTAATTACTTAAGTCAGAGCTAGCCAGTAAGAAACAAGCAAGGCCAACAGCTTCATAATTAATATAGCCTCCTGTGTGTTTATTTGGGGACTACAATGCGGCAGAGCCCAGGCGGCTGGCGGGGGTTGGGGGGGTGGGGGATAAACCAAAGTGGCTAGCAAAGATAAAGCTTCTCTTTACAAGTAACTATTCTACAAAGTGTTCAGTGTCCCTACCCATCAGGAAAGTGCAAGTTAAAAACTTCCCTGAGACAACACCTCTTCCCACTCAGCATGGATACAATTAACCAATCCAACAACAAAATCAGAGAGGATATGGAGAGAAAGGAACTCTTATTCACTGTTGGTAGGGATACAAATTAATACAGCTATTACAGAAATCAGTTTGAACATTCCTTTAAAAAGTAGAACTATCATATGACCCATTATTTCACTCTGTGCATATGCCCAGAGATCTGCACATCCTTCCATAGATATTTATACCCCCATGTTTATTAATGTTTTATACATTATAGCAAATAATTGACATCAATTTAATTGTTCATCAACAGATAATGGGCAATGGAGAAGGAAAATTTAGTACATATACATACATATATACATACATACATATATATACATATATATACATATATATACATATATACATATACATATATATATTGGAATATTACTCAACTCTGAAGAAAAAAAGAAATTGCAGAAAAATGCACAGGTTTATAATGCATAATAAATATTAAATGAGGTCACAATCTCAGAAAGGAATACATCACATATTTTCATACGAGGAACCTGGCCGATAACATATGTAAATCAGTGTACATGTGAATACAGTGTAAGATGAAGGAAAGAGAACAGGAAGGAGAATATAAAGCTAACTGCTTTTTTTTTTTTGGTTTTTCGAGACAGGGTTTCTCTGTGGCTTTGGAGGCTGTCCTGGAACTCTCTCTGTAGACCAGGCTGGCCTTGAACTCACAGAGATCCGCCTGCCTCTGCCTCCCGAGTGCTGGGATTAAAGGTGTGCGCCACCAACGCCCGGCTGCTAACTGCTTTTTTAGTGCTAATTCTGCCATAAACTTTTTGATTTTGATGATGAATAAGTACATAAAACACATTTGATACCGCAACTTCTGTTTCAATGCCAATTATATTTTTATATGTTCATTAAGTTATATAGTTGGTGATCTATTGTTTATGATTTATTAAAACCACTGATGATCAGAGAAACAAAGCAGCCAAGCCATTAACTCTTACCTCTATCTCAGGCTGAAAGAGCTGATCCTGTCTCCACGAATACTCACCAAGCCTCAGACTGCTGCCTCTCCTCAGCATAGCTGAAGAATCTATGCCTTCCTATCCTCAATGTGGCTGGAGAATGAAAGCCAGCTCTGAGATACTGTTCTGGTCTTAAATACCTCTCTTGAATCGTGGGATTAAAGTTGTGAGCTCTTTTACTCTTTTTGACTGATTCAATCTCATGTAGCCCTGGGTGGCCTTGAACTTAGAGAGTTCCATCTGCCCTTGTCTCCTGAGTCCTAGGATTAAAGGTGTGTGTCAGCACTGCCTAGCTTCTATGGATAACTACTATGATTGCTTTGCTATTTTGATGTCAAGTGGCTTTAATAAATCATAAACAATACATCACCATGGATAGACTTTGGGTGTAGTTAATTTTGGTGTGTGATGTTTATTTGTTTATTAAAATGATACGGAAGATATCATGATAAGCAAAGTGAAATGGATACAGTTGAGATGTAGCTTGAAGACTGTCATGAGCGTAAAGCCCAATGTTGAGAAGTGGACACTGGGCCTGGGTATCTCAGAAAGGACATTATAGTGTGCACCAGTCAGGAAAAGGGTTAGTGTTGCTAATAAGCAAAGACACATGCTGTGAGAAAGCAGAGCGACGTCATTCTCAATTGTCCACACCAGCAAGGACTGAGGACTGCAGACACTGCTGGTCAGTGCACATTTGGTCCCGGCTGGGAGGAGTAAGATCAAGACTAGATCCTTTTTAGTGATCTTTATCTCAAGGACTGGATCTTGGCTCCATGTCATGAGGTCCTCTCACCAAGCCCAAAGTTTATTCATAAATGGTAATTTTTTTATCAGCTCCCTTCCTTCCTTCCTTCCTCCCTTTCATTCCGTTCTTTCATATCTCCCTCCCTCCTCCCTTTCTCCCTCCCTCTCCCCCCTCTCTGTTTTTTGTTTTTCTGAAATAGGGTTTCTCTGTGTATCCCTGGATATCCTGGAACCAGAACACTGTAGTCCAGGCTGGCCTCAAACTCACAGAGATCCACATGCCTCTGCCTCCTGAGTGCTTAATGCTGGGATTAAAGATGTGTGCCAGCGCTGCCCACCATCAGCTCCTTTCTTGAACCTACCTGCCACCTATCCATTTGGTTTCCTTAGCACTGATGTGGAAGTTTGCACCCAAAGTCTCAGGTATATGCAAATTGAATTGGTGGTTTAGTTCATCCACAGCCCCAGGGACCAACATTCAGTCCCAGGACAACACTCAAGGTCCCAGAGAACACCATCCACAGCCCCAGGGACCAACATTCACAGTCCCAGGACAACACCCATGGTCCCAGAGAACACCATCCACAGCCCCAGGGCCAGCTGCAGTGGCACAGAAATCTCACTCATGGAAGGTGGAGATTCAGAGCTTGGTGTTACAACTATCAATCCAGTTTGGAGTGGAAGCACACTCTGATAGGACTAAACAGATAAAGCCAAGGCAAGGTTAAAACTACGCAAAACGTCTTAGCAACTTAGCAAGATCTCGGTGACAAGACTGACTGGTAACAAGTTCCTCACAGCTAATTGATGGTCTGTATATTCCTACTTCAAAGGCTGCCATGAGTGACCAGTCTAAGGAGTCAAATGGATTTTATTTTCAAATGAATTCACTCTATATTCTAGTAGATTTGGCAGATAACTGAAGAGCTGTTTGCTACCTGCTCCCTTGAGCTCTCAGTATTAACTCACAGTGTTCCCTTGGCATCCTTCACATACACACACACACACACACACACACACACACACACACACACACACACACACACACACTCCCACAACCGGGGAGGGGGGAGCCGGTGGAGAAGAGGGGGGTGAATGAAGGGCTGCCTCCTAGATCTCAAGCCTCCGATGTGCAGTACATGACACACAATTATGACATCATTAAGAATAAAGGAATTTCATAGTACAGCAGAAAAGTCAAACAAGTAAGGCTGATGCAAAAAGAAGCAGTATAAATCAGCAGTCCCTTCAAGGGAGCTGGCACGGGTCACAGGGCGGTGATGTCAGCGAGGCACAGTGTGAGATAGGAGTGACACATCACACTGAGATCAAGTGTCAGTGGAGACTGGTTTTACTAAACTTTGTCTACTCTTTCTGTTCATAACACTAAGAGAATTAGAAAGATGAGAATAAATAGTCCATTGCACCACCACCTGCAAACCACCACCGTGAACAGTCGGGGCACACCCACGCTGCACCTAGTCATCTCCTCTTAGTATTGCTTTCTGTATGACTCTACCGAGAGCGTAATGTCTGCTTGCTATTGATACTAAAGCATAAGACGCTGCCCCACAGCACTCCTTACAAAGACGCCTTTAGGTTTCTGCCTAACGCTTCACTGTAGAGATCTGCTAGGCTCCATTCAATCATTCCCATATTGTTCATCTCGTTATTATTATTAGCGGGGTAGGGTGGGTGTATGCATGCCATGGCATGAGTGTGGAATTCAGAGGACAACTCTGTGGAATTGGTTCTCTCCTTCCATCCTTTTGTGAGCTCCAGGGATGGGTTCAGGCTATCTGTGGGGAAGGTGGGTGTGGCAAGCGCCTTTATCATCAGGGCCGTCTCACTGGCCCCAACAGTTTGATAGCTCACCACATCTCTTGCTCTTTTTTTTTTTTGTTTTGTTTTTGTTTTTGTTTTTTCGAGACAGGGTTTCTCTGTGGCTTTGGAGGTTGTCCTGGAACTCGCTCTGTAGACCAGGCTGGCCTCGAACTCACAGAGATCCGCCTGCCTCTGCCTCCCGAGTGCTGGGATTAAAGGCAACATCTTTTGCTCTTATAATTGAAATGACAACAACTATGGTTGTGGATGGAATCTCTTGCTTCAGATTCCTAGAAATCCAACAACCAAGACAAAAGCATGAACTTTTAAGTGAGGATTTTCTTACTAGATTAGGAAGATCATGTTGGCCTCTGTGGCAACATGGTTCTATTTTGATTACTTTTCTTACTTAGTATCTAGGGAAGCCAGGCTCGAGTCGCTAGAGTAGGAGTCTATCCTTGCATATTCTGGTCATAGACTACCAGTGCTGTTAGAGGTTTTGGCTTTTCTAGTCCGTCTACTCATTTTTCAGGTAGGGCCACAAAGGCTGACATTTTAATAACCACACAGAGCCACCAAGGATAGAGGCTATGGTAGAGCTGATCCTCTGACCCCAGATAAAGGTAACCAGCCTTTATTGATAGGGAGTGAAAGGAGAGCTGAGCTCTAGAGATACAGATGTAAGAGATGAGGGCATCTGGGTCAGAGAGAGCAGAGGGAGAAAAGACATGGCCTCATGAGAGTGACTGAGTCCAAGAGGTTTAGAACCTCTCTCTCTGTCTCTGTCTCTGTCTGTCTGTCTATCTTTCAGTGTGTGTGTGTGTGTGTGTGTGTGTGTGTGTGTGTATTTTAAGACAGGATCTTAGTCAGGGGTTGGCGGTACACGCCTTTATTCCCAGCACTCAGAGGCAGGCGGATCTTTGTGAGTTCGAGGCCAGCCTGGTCTATAAGAGCTAGTTCCAGGACAGGCTCCAAAACAATATAGAGAAACCCTGTCTCGAAAAACCAAAAAAAAAAAAAAAAAAAAAAAAAAAAAGGACAGGAGGATCTTGCTATGTAGTTCAAGCTGACCTAGAATTTGTGGCAATCCTCCTGCCACAGCTTCTGAGAACTTGGATTACAGGTGTGCATCACAACACCTGGCACTAAATGTTCTTATCAGAGAAGAATCTAGAAAGGCGGAAAATAAAAGCCTTGCTTTTCCTAGCCAGGATTTTGCTAGTTATACGTTATACAGTGTGGGAACACCAGACCTTGAGCAGAGACCCACTTCCCCTTCTGCCTGGGAGTAGGCAGCTGTAAGACAATGTTTACTAAAAACATGCTTACTAAAAACAATACAATGCCCGGGGCAATACGTTCCTGGAAAAGGCCTGCCCACGGAAACCGCCCTGACCTCGACCTTGTCCAAAGACTAACCGCCTCTTCTGACACGCCCAGATCAGTTTTTGGTGTGAGAGATCAGAACCAGCCAGGGTAGAGGAGAGAGCAGAAGCTTTTCTGGAGGGAGCCTTTCTTAGGAAGTTTTCTTGAACCTTTTTGGGGCCTGCTTAAAGTTTTCTTTACATCGTTGAACAGGTCTCTGTGTTGTCAATCCCCGACACCCTCCGCACGTTCTCGGACACAGGCTGCGCGGCAGACGCGGCAATACAGTGGTTCTCAGTATTTGAACAACCTTTTGGAGTTTGGAAGTGGTTTGTCATACATTACCTAATGAGATCTTTGCCCCAGGCATTTTTAGGTAGAAGACAGAGCTTTTGTTTTGTTTTGCTTTGCTTTTTGTTTTTTTTTTTATGATTTTTTTATTCTTTTTTTAAAATTTAGATAAGAAACAAGGTTGCTTCACAAGTCAGTTCCAGGTCCCTCTCCTTTTCCCTCCCCTTGCTTTTTGTTTTTTGAGACAGGTTTTCTATGTGTAGCCCTTGCTGTCTTAGAACTAGCCCTGTAGACCAGGCTAGCCTTAAACCAGAGATCTGCCTGCCTCTACCTCCTGAGTGCTGGGAATAAAAGTGTGTGCCACCACCTCTGGCAAACAGAGAGTTTTAGAGATACTTGTCCAAGACACGCAAGCACGCAGAAGAGTTAGGACTTTGGAATTTAAACCAACAAATCCTGTTACCATGTACAGTTTCCCCAGCCAGAGCCAAGACTGGGGGTCAAATAACAACGAGTCTACAAATAGGCTCCTACCTCCCGTCTTTGTAACTGTTTACAGACCTGTGATGTCGCCTTCTTCACAGTGTCAATCTTGAAGTAGAAAGGATGGCTGTTGTCTGTGTTGAGCTTTGTGATGGCATGACCAAGTGCCTCCGTCAGCTCCGGGCTGTCTATAGGAATGTTCTGGGGACATCCAGGGCAATTCTCAGGAAGTGGTTTTACCAAATCCTCTCCTGAAAAAAACAGATTTAAAGTCAGAAGGTACACCCAAAGTGGAGTCTAGCCTGGCTCCTGTCACACAGAAGCCCAGCATCCTCTTTTAAACAGGTGGGAGGGAACCTGAGCATGGTTAGGGGAAAGTGGTCCATGAGACAGCCAGGTCTTCTTTGTACTCCTTGCAGCTTAGATGTTTAGGGAAGCATGTATTCGACCATACTGAGCCATATACTGTACTTGGTTTGAATCCTCCCTCCCCCCAAGTCAGGGTCTGATGTGTCCCAAGCCAGCCTTGAATTCTATATGTAGCAAAAGTTGGCCTAGAACTTCTGATCCCCCTGCTTCAGCTTCCCGAGTGATGTGACTACAGGTGTGTGCCACCATGCCCAGTTTGAAATTCCTTGATGTAAACTAAAGAGAAACATGTAACTTAGAGGAAGGCACTGGTGAGCTTAAAGGAATGACCCTCCAATGGGGTGCCAGCAAACAGGCAGTGCCATGGTGCCTCTTGTCTCAACACACGCACAGTGGTGCCTCTCATCATGACATCTGCGCAGTGGTGTCTCTCGTTACTACATGTGCAATGATGCCTCTTGCTATGACACGTGCACAGCGCACAGCGGTGCCTCTTGTTATGACATGGGCAGAACTATTTGTAACTGAGAGAAGCCAGCCCTTTTTTATGAGAAATGCTGATTTAGTTAGTCATAAGCTTTTCAACACCTCCCCCCCCATCATAACACACAGGGAAACCCACCTTTATCTGGAAGGTTTCCACTATGGGCAGTTAAAAACCAGATGCATTTCTCTCCAACTCAAAACAACACATTTAAGAACAATTTGTATAATAGGAAAGCCAGCTGGCATTGCACCTGAAGGTGACTGCCTTGGCCCAGAGAACACACACTATCCCTTCTGTCACTGTGTTGCCGTGGCCATTGCCCAGCAGTGCAGCTGGGTAGGGAGGCAGGGTCCACTGCCTCACCATGGCTCTGCATGTGCCTACTCACTTGGATAAAGGTCACATTTCTGGGAGAAGTCAGCAATTCTTTGCTTGATATCCACAAAGGCACTATGTAGGCATTCACCGGCATCCTGGTGGTTCAAAATCAGAAATTAAAGCCAATTTTGAAAGCAAACAACTAGTAGAAATAAAAGACAGTATGCCTGCTCTACAAATCCTTACTTAGGGAAAAGGGAAAAAAAAGCTGAAAGCAAAAGAAACTCAGAAGTGTACCAGAGCTTCAATGGCAACAAGTGAACACAGAGAGGCATGAAATGAGTATATCCACAGAATGTGTAAATAAATGGGTTACATACTCTCTCTCTCTCTCTCTGTGTGTGTGTGTGTGTGTGTGTGTACACAAGGGTAGGATGATGAATCTCTTGAAGATGGAGTTATATGATGTTGTGAGCTTCCAGCTGTTGGATGTGGGTACAGGGAACCAAACTCAGGTCCTCTACAAGAGCAGCGCTTCGCCGGGCGTTGGTGGCGCACGCCTTTAAGACCAGCACTTGGGAGGCAGAGACAGGCGGATCTCTGTGAGTTCGAGGTCAGCCTGGTCTACAAGAGCTAGTTCCAGGACAGCCTCCAAAGCCACAGAGAAACCCTGTCTCTTGAAAAAACAAACAAACAAAAAAAAAAAAAAAAAAAAGAGCAGCGCTTCCTTCTGAGTGTTGAGCCACGTCTCCAGACTCTCCACCTTAGCTTATAAGAAGGATTTCCCACAGAACCTGGAACTCATTGATTCCCATAGGCTGCTGTCAAGTGAGCCCAGGGCTCTGTTGCTATCTCATTGGTTCTGGGATTATAGGTGTTATCTGCATGGGTGGTAGAGAGCCAAAGACAAGTGCTTTACTGACTGAGATCTCTCTCCCCCAGCTCCAATTTTTGCTTTGTTTTGTTTTAGAGACAAAGGTGAGCTGAGGATATGGTCTTTCCATGCATCTGCACAGGTGAGCACACTCACACATACATACAACACACACACCAAGAAAACAATGGGCAAAGAATACAATTACTCATTCAGAAATTCAAGTCATAAGTTTCCAGCATATTTATAAAAACACTTCGGCAAAATAAACAGCTGAATTATTGATTGAGAAAACTAAAACTAAACTATTTTTAGTTATACAAACTAATGAACAAATGAAGAGTTTAAATGTTTTCATAATGATTGATATCACATATAAAACTGGGGCCTTATTCTTGAGGAAAAATACCAAATGCAAAAACAATTATATCATAAAATTGTTTGCTGTTACTAATTATATTAAAAACAGAAATAATCCAGGTATCCAAAGGTAGGAATGCTGTTGTAAAAACAATTTATGATGTCTTTGTCTGAATATTATAGAGTTATTGTAAAAGTTTACCAAGATTTCTAATGGCATGGAGAAATTCTTAGGTGGAAGAAAACAGAGCATGTAAATAATCACAGTACTGGAGAGATGGCTCAGCAGTTAAGAATACTGACTGTAGCCGGTGGTGGTGGTGTACACCTTTAATCCCAGCATTCGGGAAGCAGAGGCAGGTGATCTCTGTGAGTTCGAGACTAGCATGGTCTACAAGAGCTAGTTCCAGGACAGCCTCCAAAGCCACAGAGAAACCCTGTCTCGAAGAACAAACAAAACAACAACAACAGCAACAAAGAGAGTATTGACTATTCTTACAGAGGACTGGGGTTCAATTCCCAGCATTCTCATGGCAGTTCACAACCACTTCAACTTCATTCCCTAGGAATCTGATGTCCACTATGGTCTCTGTGGGCACTGCATGCGCATAGTGCGCAGATTATGCATGCAGGAAAAGCACCCATATGCTTGAAGTAAGACAAATTAAATAAAATAATCACAACTTTTAAAAGAGAAAAATTCCTATAACTCTCCCCCTCTCTCCAACCCCCAAAAAAGATGAAGGGAAAACACACTAAGAGGTCTTTGGGCCTTTGGTTCAATAACTTCATTCTCCATGTTTCTACATTGTCTACAGCTTTTTTTTTTTTTTTTTTTTTTTTTTTGGTTTTTCGAGAGAGGGTTTATCTTTGTAACAGTCCTGACTGTCCTGGAACTTGCTCTGTAGACCAGGCTGACCTCAAACTCACTGAGATCCACCTGCCTTTGCCTCCCAAGTGCTGGGATTAAAGGCGTGCGCCACCACTCCCACTCTCCAGCCATTACTTACAGCTTTCAGACAATATGTATCTTTCCAATAAACCAACACATGTAATAAAGGTCCAGTGTCAAAGCCACAGGTCTTCACAATGGTGATGTGTTGGTGCTGGGTGAGGAGTGTGGTAGCATAGCCGTTCTCGATTCCAGCTGCACCTTTGACTGGCTTAGAAGCTTTAGTGTTTGGGTCACTGACCTGACACCCACACCAGATCATTCTGGAGACCCTGGGGGAGGTATTTGCCAGGTGACTGGAACCTTTTCCATATTGAGACCAGCTTATGAAACCTCTCCAATCATAAAACAATGTGTGTGCAAGAACCATCACGAGAGGCTCATGGGATGCAGACGGACTTGGATTTGGACATGTGGGTTCAGACTTCAGATTTTCTAACAAGCTTCCAACCACCGACAAATATTTCCTATTACGTTTTCTTTAGTTTTATAGAAGCTGGGAACTCACTGCTAATACCATTTCTTATCTTACAAGGAAGGAAGTGAAGTCTCAGAGAAGCTATACAAAAGCAACTGGCATTTTCTAATTTTGCCAAGAGGTAACTAAGTAGACGGTTTATAAACAGACGCAGAAAAACAAGACTGTGCGGTATTAAGAGCCACACAGCCTCCAGTAGCTGTGGAGTCTAAGAAACACAGAGGCCTTCGTATGTCAGAACTGTCCCAAACTGATAAAGTTAATAGTAGTTAGAATATACAAATTTTTAGAGTGTTTCCTTTTGGGGTAAAATAATTATATGCATATGAAATAAGATATAAAGATAGATAAGATGTCTATATATAAAATGTAAACTTTTCTATTTAAAACATTAAAAGTTGTAGAATTAGCTGGCATTAATTAAAATTCATCATGTACAACATCACTACTGCCTTGAAAAATACTTTTATCTCACAGAAATCCTGAACCCAGTAAACAATAGACAAGCATCCTGCCCGTTGTTTCTTTCTTTCTTTCTTCCTTTCTTTCTTTCCTTCCTTCCTTCCTTCCTTCCTTCCTTCCTTCCTTCCTTCCTTCCTTCTTTCTTTCTTTCTTTCTTTCTTTCTTTCTTTTTTTTCGAGACAGGGTTTCTCTGTGGCTTTGGAAGATGTCCTGGAACTAGCTCTTGTAGACCAGGCTGGCATCGCACTCGCAGAGATCCGCCTGCCTCTGCCTCCTGCCCTTTCTTGACCCCCTGAACTTTCATCTACTTCCTGTCTTTATGAATGTGCTTCCCTTACATATTATATCTAAATGGAACCATACAGTATTTATATTTCTGTGTCTGATTTATTTCATTCACACTATGCTTCAAGGTTCACTCATGGTGCAGGTGTGTCATCCTTTGGTGTATGTATATAGTATGTCATTCATCCATTCACCTGCTGTCCTGGTTAATTTATTTATTTATTTATTTTGCTTGACACAAACTAGAATCATTTGGGAGGAGGGAAGCTCCATTAAGAAAACGCCTCCATCAGATTGACTTGTAGACAAGTCTGTGGAACATTTTCTTTTTCTTTTTAAATTTTATTTTATGTGTACGAGTGTTTTTCCCACATGTGTGGGTCCACCATGTGCCTGGTGCCCGTGGAGGCCATGAGAGGGTGTCAGAAACCCTGTACCTGGACTCCCAGAAGGTTTGACCCACCGTGTGGGTGATGAGAATGGAAGCTGTCCTCTGGAAGAACATTAAGTGCGCTTAAGCGCTGAGTCATCTTTCCAGCCCCGGGATTTTGACTAATGATTGATACGGAAGGGCCCAGCCCACCGTGGATGGCACCACCCTGAGAAGGCGGTCCTTGGAGGCTCGGGGAAAGAGCCAAACGGGAGCCTGGGCGGCAAGCTAGCGAGCAGTTTCTCTGTGGTTCCGCTTCAGTTCCTGCCTCCAGGCTCTTGTCTGTGTTCCCGTCCTTCAGTGACTGGACTCTGACTTTTGATGAAATAAACCCTTCCCTTCCCAGGTTGATTTTGGTCAGTATTTTATCACAGCAACAGAACTAAGTAGGACCCCTGCTGATGGGCACATGGGTTGTTTTCACTTTTTGGCTCTGTGAGAGGTGCTGCTGGGAACACAACTCTGGGTTTCTGTTTTGAGTTCCTTTGGGGTGGGGGGATCCACCTAGAAGTGCGGTTTGCAAGGGTACCTACTCTTTTTCTGCTTAGTGTAATTTGATGCATTTATTTGTATATTAGGTGTGCATACCTTCATCTGTGTGTGTGCACACACAAATTCAGAAGCCAGAAGGTGATGTCAGAGGTCTTTCTTAGTTTCTCTCTACCTTATTGGTTGAGATGGTGTCTCTCACTGAAACTGAAGCTCTCCCTTCGGTTCAGCGAGGGCCAGTGAACCGCAAGAATCTTCCTCGCCAGTGCCGGGAGTAGAGGGACAGGCCGCCACTCCTTTACGTGAGTATTGGTTATTTACCTATCTATCTATCTATCTATCTATCTATCTATCTATCTATCTATCTATCTATCTATCTATCTATCTATCTATTTATGTTTTTCAAGACAGGGTTTCTCTTAGTGGCCCTGGCTGGTCTCAAACTCTCTGTAGACCAGGCTGTCCTCGAACTCACAGAGATCGGCCTGCCTCTGCCTCCCGAGTGCTGGGATTAAAGGCATGCGTCACTGCCTTTATTTTCTATCACCTTTTTATATTTATATTAGTTCTACTTTGTATATTTGGACAACTGTATGTATAGCTTTCCCTTCCCTAATTTTTAAAATTTAAAATAAATTTTTTTGAGACAGGGTCTCTCTCTGTAGCCCTAGCTGACCTGGAGTTCAGTATGTAGACCAGTCTGGCCTCGCACTCACCGAGATCCACTGCTTCTAGAGAGCTGGGACTAGAGACGTGTGCCAGCACACCAGCCCCCTTGCTTTCTTCACTTACCATTTGTTTGTTTTCCTGAAACAAGGTCTTTTGTACTAAAGACTGGCTTCAAACCCACTGTGCAGGTAAGGATGACCTTATCTCCTAATTCTCCTGTCTCCATGGCTCCTGTGAGTGCAGTTTGTATCCTGATTTTTGCTTTTTCCTTAACATACCAAAATGATTTGCCAATGTCATTAGCGGTTCTGTAAAAACTATTCTAGTCTATGTTCCATTATACTTTGTTTCCTAATGATGCATATAGAATTCATCTCAGATGCTTTATCATTAAAAAACAAACAAAATTGGGAGCTGGAGAGTGGATCAGCGGTTAAATACATAGGCTGCTCTTCCAGAGGATCTGGGTTCAATTCCCAGGACCTACATAACAGCTGACAACTGTCTGTAACTCTAGTTTCAGGGCTTGTAACATCCTCACAAAGACATGCATGCAGGCAAAACACCAACGCACGCACATAAAACCAAAATAAATCATATAAAAAATTACCCCAAATTAGCATATTGTGGTCTAGATTTCTCAGTGTTCCCTTGTTGTGGAATATTATTTTAAGGTGTGTTGTATTTGTTTATGCTGTGGAACATTTGTTTAGTGATGCATGGATGTGTTGCATTCTTTTATGTTGCTTTGTCTGTCTAAAACACCAGAAGGTCTAATAAAATGCTGAATAGTCAATAGCCAGGCAGGAGAAAGGATAGGTGGGACTGCAGGCTGAGAGATAAATGGGAGGAGAAATCTGGGAGGAGCAAGAGAACAAGGAGCTGAGGATGCTAGGGGCCAGCCACCTAGCCACCCAGCCACCCAGCCACCCAGCCACCCAGCCACCCAGCCAGCCATGGAGTAAGAGTGGAGTAAGGTTACAGAGGTAAGGAAAGGAAAAAGCCCAGAGGCAAAAATCAAAGAGATAATTTAAGTTAAGAAAATCTGGCAAGAAACAAGCCAAGGTAAGGCCAGACATTCATAAGAAATAATAAATCTCTGTGTATGATTTATATGAGAGCTGGGTGATGGGCTCCCAAAAGAGCCAAAAGAACAAAGAATAAAAACAACCAACTACATTCCCTCATAAAACAGAGCTACTAGATTGAAGGACTATCTACAACATTATTCTGGGAAGGCTTGTCACCTCGGCATTCGTCAGACATAGCATAGTCATTGACATCATTTCTGTGTGATCGTGGGTGAGATTACAAGATGTCAGCCACAAAGGGATAGAATCCCAGAAAGTGTTTATTAAAATGAAAGCGGATGAGGGAAGATGAGGAAACAAGGAGAGAAGAGTTTGAAATAAGGAATCGGGGTCTAGAGGATCCTGTTGGGACACCGAGCACACTTGACATCGGAGGAGACTAGGGGCATATGACAGCCCAGGTCCCATTCCTAATCGCTGATGAATGTAAATACTTAGTGTGACATGTGCAGTCTTTGGCCAGCAGCTCTGGGCTCCCAGATCCCCAGGGACCACAAATGTGAACTACTAAATGATATCTTAGCTTTAGGGACAGTCTTCCCACAACACTTGGCAGTCCTGTACATGCTGTTAACAAAATGTCAAAGGCGATCATTAAACTTTTGGCTACTTACACCATCCTGAAGGGATTTGCACTCTGGAGTTAAGAGTGGAAAATGCTTTTTTGAACAGTTGGTTTGCACAATAGTGTAGGTGACTTCAAAGTTCAGTCCTGCCACCACCTGAAACAATTTTAGGTTGAGAACTTGAAGTTCAGTTTGAACATTATTCACAATGAGTAAAGTTATATACATCTTTAAACATTGAATTGGATGTAATACATGCTCAGGAAACACAAACTGTCATTATTACTAGGCAATGGTATCAGTGAGTAAATATTGATTACACACACACACACACACACACACACTCTCTCTCTCTCTCTCTCTCTCTCTGTCTCATGTAACTGCAAATGAATATGCATGTGTGTTTCTTCAAACAAAGACCCCCACAATTTTTCCTTTGCCCAGTTGCCAAGAGGGCATGTTTCTTGCAGTTTTGTGAAGCAACATGATTTTCTACACAGGAGGAGTGTAAAATGGGAGTGACCTTTTTTGGTGAGCTCTCTGGTCTCAGGTTACCAGGTAGTGAAATTCTCCTGCTTTGTTCTTGGCAGGCTCCATGCTGACACCATCCCCACCCTGACCATCACATCCCACACTGACCATCACATCCCACACTGACCATCACATCCCACACTGACACCATCACATCCCACACTGACACCATCACATCCCACACTGACACCATCACATCCCACACTGACCATCACATCCCACACTGACACCATCACATCCCACACTGACACCATCACATCCCACACTGACACCATCACATTCCACACTGACCATCACATCCCACACTGACACCATCACATCCCACACTGACACCATCACATCACACACTGACACCATCACATCCCACACTGACCATCACATCACACACTGACCATCACATCACACACTGACATCATCACATCCCACACTGACACCATCACATCCCACACTGACACCATCACATCCCACACTGACACCATCACATCACACACTGACCATCACATCCCACACTGACACCATCACATCACACACTGACCATCACATCCCACACTGACACCATCACATCACACACTGACCATCACATCCCACACTGACACCATCACATCCCACACTGACCATCACCATCACATCCCACACTGACACCATCACATCCCACACTGACCATCACATCACACACTGACACCATCACATCCCACACTGACCATCACATCACACACTGACACCATCACATCCCACACTGACACCATCACATCCCACACTGACCATCACATCCCACACTGACACCATCACCATCCCACACTGACACCATCACATCCCACACTGACCATCACATCCCACACTGACCATCACATCACACACTGACACCATCACATCCCACACTGACACCATCACATCCCACACTGACACCATCACATCCCACACTGACACCATCATATCCCACACTGACACCATCACATCCCACACTGACCATCACATCACACACTGACCATCACATCCCGCACTGACCATCACATCACACACTGACCATCACATCACACATTGACATCATCACATCCCACACTGACACCATCACATCCCACACTGACACCATCACATCCCACACTGACACCATCACATCACACACTGACCATCACATCCCACACTGACACCATCACATCCCACACTGACACCATCACATCCCACACTGACACCATCATATCCCACACTGACACCATCACATCCCACACTGACCATCACATCACACACTGACCATCACATCACACACTGACCATCACATCACACACTGACCATCACATCACACACTGACACCATCACATCCCACACTGACACCATCACATCCCACACTGACACCATCACATCCCACACTGACCATCACATCCCATACTGACCATCACATCACACACTGACACCATCACATCCCACACTGACCATCACATCCCACACTGACACCATCCGTGTGCTGACACTATCCCCATGCTGAACCACCCACCACCCTCATGCCCACTGCTGTATATGAACACAGGAGGTTAAAGTACAAATCTCACACAGTGGCAAACTGAACTAAAAGTAGAGAATGTCACAAAGGCAGAGGTAGACAGAGCTATGATTTTGAGGCCAGCCCAGTTTATGTAGTGAGTTCCATGATAGCCAGGGCTGTGTAGAGAGACTCTGCCTCAGATTAAAAAAAACCAAACAATCAGATACTAACTGTTTCCACCCACCACCAGGAGGAAGTGGGCAATATAATTTCGGATGTACCCAGAAAGTCATGTCTACCTTTTTAGGAACAATTTAATATTTTGAGGCAGTGTTTAATTAATGACAACAAGACGGCAATACAGATTTGTTAAAGTCCTAAAGCCAGAGTGACATTTTCATTTTCCGTCTTTGGGAAAAACATGCCATGCTGACTGTAAGAAGATGTGAGAGCTGCCCTTTCCTTCTTAGGTGTCACTCTGCTCGCTTAGACCCCAGAGAAAGCTCCCTTCTTGAAGTTATTCTCATGAAAACACAGGAGGACACTCCAGTACTATGCCGGCATGTGGCCAGACAGCGCCCTCCTGACAGTGGTTTATTTTGTGTGACAAAATGTAACAAATTTTTAGTCATATCACATATCATGGAAAACTGAAAAAACAAACCTGTCTCTGGGCTGTTTTTACTTCTTCAAGAGCAAAGAGGTGGGAATGACCGGTGTTGTTGTTGAAGTGTTCCATGGCGTGTTTTAGAATAGGTTGCAGTTCAGGGTTATCAGTCGATATGGGGTGTACACAACCCACGCAGGTGTACTCGGCTTTCACCACGGGGCCATTCCCTTGACAAAGAGCAAAGAGGTAGGTAGCATTAACAACTGAAGACACTTCTCATACATACATACAGTCCTAAGCCCAATCTGGGAAGTCCTGATAAGCTGACTTCCCAGTAACTCCTGTATGAGTTAAAGATAGTAAAGGTCTAGGACTTCTCTACAGTTAGAGGGGAAAATGGAGAACATACAGAATAGTTTTTTATGTTATATTATTTATTTCATTTTTTAGACAGTTCCCCAGGGCTGGTCTGGAACTATCTGAGTAGGTAAAGATGGCCGTGAAAGTCTGATCTTCCTTCCTCTGCTTTTCTGTCCAGGCTTCTGTGCCTGCTCTATGTGGTGATGTGGGCTGAACCCAGGCCTTCAGGAATACTAGCTTGTTGGAACACGGTCCAGGAATGGAATCGTGTAAGAACACTCCAAGAAAACAAGACAAGAGTCTTGTGACCTCAGTTGCTTCAAAACACAGAATTGTTCTTGGAACGTGTTTTTGGGCCCCTCCCAGGTGTAAGGGATAGGAATGAGTTTACTTTAGATTACTCATTGTGGCTTGCTGCTGTTATTCCATTAAATGTTTAAACTAACCTTTATATGACTCTTTGGAAAAACATGTTTTTTTATGTCACAGTGTGACTTGTCCTTGTGACTGTATACAGCCTGAACTCATGAGAACTTTACTCATGTGATCTTTCTTTCTTTAACAGACTTAAAAAAAAAAGATTTAGTTATTATGTATAGTGTTCTACCTGTATGTATGCCTGCGGGCCAGAAGAGGGCACCAGATCTCATTACAGATAGTTGTGAACCACCATGTGGTTGCTGGGAATTGACCTTAGGACTTCTTCAAGAGCAGCCAGTGCTCTTAACTTCTTAGGCATCTCTCCAGCCCTTCATATGACCTTTCTTAACCCTCACAGTATAAGCTGTCTGAGGCTCTGAATGAAGTTGGTTATTGCATAAGACTTAGTCTGCCTCATTTACCAGCTCCTTTCATCCAGGTCTCACCACCTCCAGAGCGGTGACATTAGTAGAGCTACATCGTTACACCCTTATTTTAATGCCTTTTCAATGTTCACAGTAATACATTAACTCGCCATTTTATAAGAGGGAGAACATTACAGCTATATCTTTATTTTTGGTATTAAAGCCCCTTGATATAGCCAGCACAGTGTCTGTCTGCACACTGCCATGCTCTCCGCCATGATGATAATGGACTGAGCCGCTGAACTGTAAACCACCCTGAATTGCATGTTTTCCTTTATAAGAGTTGCCGTGGTCATGGTGTCTCTTCACAGCACTAGAAAACCTAACTAAGACAACTAGCATAGAAGGCAAGAGGTTTTCTCACTAGTTAGCCTGAGGAGCCTTTCCTTGGAGTCCATCTGCCCCTGCTCTCACATGCCAGGCACTGAGGTAGGGTATAGGGAGACGTTAAGTGTCACTTCCATGAAGGAATGACAGTCAGGTAGAATAGAAAGACTGTAGACAGATCATTTCATGGGGGTGGGCAAGAGGTAGGAGAGGCAGGAGATCAGGGAAGACGTCTAAGAAAATGATGAAGATGCCTGAGCGAAGGAAGAAGGTGGCAAGAGGTGTAGGGACAGGGAGAGAAGGGACGGATGGCACTGAGAAATCAGGCTGAGTCGAGGTAGCATCTATTCATTTTACCAGAGTATCCAACGTGACGCAGAGAGGGCCAATTGGAGTTATGGACAGTCGGAGAGAGGCTTGCTCCAGGCAGGAACTACTAACAGCACATCTAGTCACTATCTAGTCCCAAAGTTCATGAGAACCGTAGTCCCTCCCCAGGAAAATGCAAATAATCACAACATTCACCTGTGATTTTAGGGTTCTCATGGACCCTCTGACGTGAACAAAGCATACCCGACTGTGGGCAGCTGCAGAGTGGGTAGTGTGTTCGGTAGAGACACCACATCAGGATGGAAGGCTTCCTTAGCCCTTGGGAACACACTTCCTGGGTGTGTCCTGTCATTGGATCTCTCTCTCTCTCTCTCTCTCTCTCTCTCTCTCTCTCTCTCTCTCTCTCTCTCTCTCTCTCTGTCTCTCTCTCTCTACCACATAAGAGTCCAGCTCCAGGGAGACTTTCATGACTGGCATTACCCATACACACTCATCCCTCTCTGAGGCCTTGGTAGCTTCACAACATTACTGGAAGTGATTGGAATGGCTGCATCTGTTCATGGGTTGCTCCTTACTGTTATTCTTTAGGGTTTTATTTACATAGGACCTACTCTACCAACTCTACTGCTGACTGTATAGCCATAGGTAAGTTACTTAACTGTTCCTGCCTCAGTTTCCTCATTTGAAGAATCAGGATATAATACCGCCCTGATGGAGCTGTAATGGTCAGATGAGTTAATACATGTAAAGCCCCTAGATCCAGGGCAGCACACACGTGCTTGGTGAGTGTTAGCTATCATTGTCATCTGAGGTCTACAGTCTTATGATACCCAGGCATTGCATCTTTGCTGGTCTCATTTTCTAGCACACCAATCATGTGAAGTATGCAGTTCTGTTGTCACCCTTCCGAGGCAAGGAAAAAGGAAAGTGAAGATGATAAAAATCTGGAATGATTTCAGGCCCGGGCAGGCCTCAAAGTCTCCTCCCTGCCTGTATAGGACAGGAGGCAGGTCTGTGTCTCCTCATCCTTTGTCAGCTGGCCCTACCCCAACCTGTCCCTGCAGACACAACACAGGAGGAGTTAGGCTAGGTCTGAGGGGATGAATGTCTCAAGCCTGCACCAATCCAAGAACCTGGTGCAGTGCTACTCTGCCCACACATCTACTACAGTCCCAACACTGCAGATAGCATTGCCACTGTCGCCTTCTGGGAAGGTAAAGTGGTCTGGTAAGTAGGAATAATTGGCACCAACATACATACCCGCCCCAGGCTCCTTCCCACTGCCACCACCAGGGCAGGACCCCCAGATGCATCACCCACCTGGAGTAATCTTGCATGTCTGGGTAGCTACGGAGAATTTCTTAGTTCCCCTCTTCCCCACAGTTGCTGTACATTCTCCAGTGCCCTGAAAGAAAAGAAAGAGACTATTTGCCCAAATCTTTCTTTCCAATGGAGACATCGAGCTTGTTTTTGTTGTTAAATGTGACTTAAAGAAAGTTTTTTTTTTGAGACAGGGTTTCTCTCTATTGCTTTGGAGGCTGTCCTGGAACTTGCTCTGTAGACCAGGCTGGCCTCAAACTCACAGAGATCCTCTTGCCTCTGCCTCCCAATGCTGGGATTAAAGACATGAGCCACCAGTGCCCAGTGAAAGTTTTTTTTCTAATGTAGTTTTAAAAAAAGATTTGTTTCTATGTACATGAGTACTTTGTGTGTATATATGTATGTGTGCATGCATCTGGTGTCCATGGAGTCAAGAAGATGGCATCAGATTTCATGGAATTAGGGTTACAGATGGTTATGTGTATATTGTTTATGATTTAATAAAGCCACTGAAGATCAGAGAAACAAAGCAGTCAAGTTACCAGAGAGCCCTTACCTTTACCAGGGATAGGGAGATCCTGTCCTCAATGTGGCTGGAGACTACTTGCTCAAATTCAAGACCCTACTCCTATCTGCATCTGTAGTGTTAGGATTAAAGGCCTGAGCTCTGTTTCCCTTTTAGACTAATTCACTCTCATGTAGCCCTGGGTGGCCTTGAACTCACAGAGATCCATCTGCCTCTGTCTTCTGAGTTCTGAGATTAAAGGTGTGTGCCACCACTGCCCAGCTTCTATGGCTGACTAGTGTGACTGGCTTCACATTCTGATCTTCAATGACTTTACTAGATCATAAACAGTATATCACCACAGTTATGGGCTCCATCTGGGTTCTAGGAACCCAATTCATGTCTTCTGCAAGAGCAGCAAGTGCTCTTAGCCACTGAGCCATCTCTCCAGCCTTCTAAGTTTTGAGACATGAAAATGAATATTTATGTGACCTAGTGATTGCTTCCACAGGTCACTGATCTTCATGGGTTAGGGAGAGGCAGAGTCAGACTTCTAAACTTGAGCCTTGATATGGAGATCTAGAGAGGCTTCTCTGCCACCAAGACAGCCACTGTGCCTTGGGACCAACTGGCTAGGCTTCCTCCCTGATATCCCTTTCAGTGTCAGTGGGGTCACACTCTTTATATAAACTTTAGTTTAACCTCTTAGAATAGCCTGCTTCCGTTCTTCTGCCTGCTAGTTGCTCCCTCTGCCCTGGTGCCTCTCAAGGCCTCAGTTTACCCTCCTTGTAGAGATAGACCACAAGTACTTAACAGGTTACTGTGAGGAGTAAATGTGCTAACACACAGAAAATGCAATTGGTGCTTACACCGTGGCTGCCCGCTGTTAGTGGTAACAATGGTTTTTGCCTTGTTCTTCAGTTTTATCCACTGTACTGAGCATCAGGAGCATTTGTGTGAGGCTAGAGCTCATCCCAAATACCTCCAGATAGCTCTGAGAGATTGGATGTGCAGGGCATAACAACTGCCAGACAAGCTCACTGAGGGGCGGAGCCAGCATGGCAATCCTAATTTGGCGTACAGTGCTCTTTTACAGCCATGGATGACCACAGTGTGTAAACAAGCACTCAGGAGGATGCTGACATCTGATCTAAGAGGGAAATCCAAGCCTGTGAGAAGAGAAGGGACTTGCTTCTCGGGCAGATAATCACCTGCCATCCCCTCTCACTAGTGCAAGGCAACTGTCAGGGGCTAGAGCCAGTGTTTCTTTAAGACACCTAAATTGTCAACAAGATCCTTTGTATAATTTATATTGTTTCAGCCTCCTGCAGCCAGTGAGAACAATGTTGTCTCTTTTTAATAGGGTAAAGTACCTACAGATGGCGGCCAAGGACTTCCTGCCACTTAGAGCCAAAGTCAAGATTTGTACCTCTGCCTGGTATAGTTGATGCTCCATATTCTTCCTTCACTAGACCTTGAACTCAGCCCAAATGTCTGGGGTCAGACACCCAATCTTGGTTGATTACTACGACCACCTTCTCATGAGTGGACGGCAAGCCTGGTTAATGATTGGCATGCTCCTGGTTGCTTTGTCATCTCAAGAGTTTAGAGATAATGTGGCTAAATTTTCTATGTAGTAGGAGGGTTATGTGCATCCTTCATGAACAAGCTAAATAATATAGGTCATCCCCTTGTACTTAAAAAAGTCTGCAACTGATGAGTGGGCAAGGAAGTTGGTGTATGTACATAATGGGAAGAACTGTAAAGAATTAAAACTCGTCACTTGAACATGGAAGGGACTGGGAATCAGCAGGTTAGTGAAAACATGTAGGTACAGGACATCAAAGGTCAACAGAGGGTGATGTCACGGGAGCTAGGAGCGGAACACCAGTCACCAGCAGCTGGCAAGGCTGGCAAGGATCACTGAGTGACAATTTGATAGGAACCGAGTGAAGACAGATAAGAATTTCATGTTGTTCATTGCAGAATGGCTGGAAGGATTTTGAATTTTGTCACCATAAAGGACTGATGACTGCCCAAGGAGACAGGTGCCCCAGCTTTAAGCAAGTGCACAGGATCAAATCGTCAGGTGTACCCACCACGTATATAAGTTTAACACGTTCGTTTAAATTCATGAAACCCAGAGGATTACATGGAGAGGGCTGGGGCTTTTGCATAAAGAGCACACTTACCGCCTCCTCAGCATCTTTGAAGTCGCAGTCCTGCCAGGTGAGGCCACTTTGGACAGAACAGTTGCCCTCCTTGATTTGATATTTGAAGGAATAAAATATCTCAGAGCCAACCTGGGGAAAGCAAAGGTGACACGTGGAGTCATTCAGTGGAGCCAGCAGCAAGTATGTGGGACCGGACACATTACAAACAGTTGTCCAGATCAGACTCGAGAGAGCTAAGTGTTTACTAAAATATGAAAGCTTACATTCAGATAAACACTCCTTGGAAGAATGGCCATAATATACTTATATCCTTAACAGTTCCAAAGCGGTATCCATAGTAAAGCCCTGCCCTCTTTTTGGTAAAACCTAGTTTGCGTGTACATGTGTGAGTCTTCAAATGTCAGGTTGGAGCTAGTGCAAAGCCTGTAATCCCAGGACCATGCCTGGGGGACTGAGACAGGAGGACCTTGGGTTCAAGGCCAACAGAGCACATAATGAAGCCCTGCCTCAAAAAACCCAAGGGCCAGGGTGCAGCTTAGGGTGTGGCTGACGTGTGCCCTGGCCTGGCCTCCCAGTGACAGGGAGGGGAAGCAGACTACACGGCATTGTACAACGAAACGCCCATGTACTCCATCCATCATCCAGCCAAGACATTAGTGGACTGAGGCCCCAGAGTGCCTGGAAGCAGAATTCACACCATGCTGGAGTGAGAAACAAAAGCCTTCATTTTATCTTCAGAAAGAAACACATAAGTCTATGTCCACTAGGGTTTTCTTTTCATCCTCACATCATATGACTGGATTTTATTTTTCTGCTGAAGTAACTTGACTTATCCAAAGAAAGAGTCTTTGAAAGTAAAATTTATTATTATTTATCTTTTTGAATGTTTTTTTTTTCGAGACAGGGTTTCTCTGTATTGTTTTGGAGCCTGTTCTGGAACTGGCTCTGTAGACCAGGCTGGCCTCGAACTCACAGAGATCCACTTGCCTCTGCCTCCTGATGCTGGGATTAAAGGCATGCACCACCAACGCCTGGCTTTTTGAAAGCTTTTACGTTTTAAAAAGTTTTTGTTTTATGTGTATGTATGTTTGCCTGAATGTATGTATATGTACTACATGTGTGCCTGATGCCTATTGTGGCCAAAAGATCTACCAGATCCCCTGGGACTAGAGTTATAGACCATTGTGAGCTACCATGGGTGCTGGGAACTGAACCCACATCCTCTGCAAGAGTATCCAGTGCCCTGAACCACTGACCCATCTCTCCAGTCTCTAAACTTTATTTATTTTAAAATCTTTTTGTTTGTTTGAGACAGGGCCTCCCTGTGTAGTCTTAGCTGTTCTAGAGCTCACTCTGTAGACCAGGCTGGTCTGGAACTCAGAGATCCACCTGCCTCCTAAGTACTGGGATTAAAGGCGTGTGCCACCGTCACCCAGCAGTTTTTTCTAAACTCTTAAAGATTTTGTCTTTTTTCCAATTTATGGGTCTTGACTGCATTGGTCCCCTGCCTCAGTGCACCAATGCAGAGATGAAAGCACAGTAAAAGCTAGCTGGAATGGGCTGGGATGTAGTTGGGGAAGCCCTTGCCTAGGTCCTGTATTTGATTCTCTGGTACGACATAACCCTGACACGGTGGCACATCCTTGTAATCATAGCACTAGGGAGATGGAGGCAGGACGATGAAAAGTTTAAGTTTACCGTCATTACCATAACAATTTTGTGGGTAGTCTAAGGCTACATGACACTGTGCCTCAGCCTCCCTGCATCCCTCCCAAAACAGAAGAAAAGTAATGGAAACACTGCTATTAACCTAGAAGAATCAGCCACACTTACTGGGTGATAATCACGTGGTCCAAGCAATAATGCCCACTTTCCTTACTCCCTTTATTCATCTCCATACAAAACTCTCACTTCAGGCTGGAGGACATTGAGTTCACAGACCCAGTGCATTCTCCTGTTGCAAGCTGATTAAGTGGCTGGGTTCCCCGCTATGTCTCGTCCCCTCCTGTCCTCCACCCCCATACCAGAGAGCACAGATTTATAAGCAATTTCACGGTTAAGCAGCCACTCACTATTTTAGTGCCCTCAGTCACTCGGTACAACACGAACTGGTTGCCGCTTTGGTTCCTCGAGTTATACTTCTTCAGAGCCGCGTCCACCGCCTGAAATAAGTCTTCATCATTGCAGTCGATTTTCTGGGAGACTCCTTCCTGTGTTAAACTTGGTAGCAGCCTGGAGCACAGGAACAGGATAGCAATTAGCTTCATGATTTAAGTTTCCCTCTCAAATGGCAGGGGTGGTTTTGCCAAGGACTAGAAGTCAGTTTAGAAGCTGCTTTTAGCAGCTTGTCTAGTCTGTCCTGTCCTGCCTCTCCCTGCCTCACCACTGGAGCCCTATTTGGATTCCTGCCTGTCACAAGCTGTTTGTCCTCTTCCCAAAGAACAAACACAACTCTGCACGCTGTCCAAGCAGGTTGCAGGCTGGAACATTGCGCCACAGGGGTTGTTGACCACTGGTTTGCCTTTGGAAAGAATGTGGGAGTGCGGTGCCCGTTTTCAAAACGTTGCACAACTTTGTACAGTGAATTAGAGCAGAAACCAATAAAAGAGGAGCTAAAACCAACAGCCAGTTCCGTTATCCTCTTGTGACTTTACTGGACCGGTTACAAAGGTCTCCGCATGCGTGAACAATGAGGCCAATGTCCGAGCACCTCCCACACGGAATTGCTTGTGGGATATTGATGTGTGCGGGAACATGCTGCTGTCAGTTCTGCTGCGTTCCTGAAAAGCTCAAGCACAGAAAGAACACTAGCACATCTGAAAACCAGCTCAATTCTACTAGCTCAAGTAAAGAGGGAAGGGAGGGGCCAGCAGGTAAAAGCGCTGGCCTCAGGAGCCTCAGGCTCACAACTTGAGTTTGGTGCCTGGGAGTCAGACCTCTGGCACACATTTGTAGCCCTGGCATTCCTCTGTAATCCAGGAGGGGGAGACATGCGGCTCACCAGGAAGCTCACAGGCTGGCAGCCAGGAGTACGAGAGCAGGAGAAGAAGCAGACCTGTCTCACTAAGGTGAACCATGAGGCTCCCATTCCTGAGACGTCTCTGACATCTACATGTGGGCTTTGTGTGCCGCCTCATACATTCTCAGCCTCACTCTCATAAACACACACACGATAATAATAACGAAGAAAAGAAAGGAAGGACAGAGGGAGGGAAGGAAGAAGAAAAGTGAAAGAAGAAATAAAAGAAAAAAATGCCCAAACATTGAATTCTGTGTGGTCGATGGGAACCTCTAGTTTGCAATGAAGCCTGCCTGAGAGACCCTGAGGTGGGGTGTTGTCACCATGGGTTTAATGGTGACTTTATAGGAGCAGGCAGGAACAATACCTTGGCTGGAGATTCTAGATGGATGTCAGTCTGGCTCTACTCCTGAACTTCTATGTGACTGGGTCTGTGCAGGCATGTGTACATATGCCAGTGTGTGTGTGCTTCATGCCTGGCTGAGTGCATGTGTCTGGGTGTCAATGAGTGTGAGTTTATGTTTGCCCATGTGTGTGTTTGCGAGTCAGTCATAACCTTCCCATCTTAGTTTCTTCACCCAAAGAATGTGGAAATCATAGTATCTTTTTTTGTTTGTTTGTTTTTGAGACAGGGATTCTCTGTGTAGCCTTGGCTGTTCTCGAACTCCCTCTGTAGACCAGTCTGGCCTCAAACTCTCAGAGATCCACCTGCCTCTGCTGCAATTAAAGGTGCGTGCCACTACCTCCTGACTGGAAATCATAATATCCTAATGGGGGTTGTTTTGTTTTGTTTTCCTTTTTGTTTTTCCACTGGAAATCCTTTTATATAGGCAAGTTTTGAAAGTGAAGACAGAAACACTTAAGCTTTCATGTGAATTAAGCAACCAAACACCACAGGTCACAAAAAAAAAAAAAAAAGAAGGTGGGCTTTGAAGAGAAACTAAGGCAGAGAATGCAAGTCTTTGACTTTAGTTTCCCTGAAGTCAAGCGTGGAAGCAAAAAGTTTCTACAGTTAGAAGGCTTATATAAATTGCGGATTTCAATTTTTGTAAAACTCAGAATGAGATGTTATGCACAGAACAAAAGACATGTCTAAATGACATACAAGGCCACCAAAAGTTATGACTATTAATACCAAAAAGAGAAGCTTAGTTGTGTAGCAGACTGAGTAAAGGTGTGGTATCCTAATAAGTTCAAGACTGTAAACTATTCCACAAAAGAGGCAATGATGGACAGATTATGTAGGAAGACATGTGCTCCTGGTTGGTACAGTGTCTACTTTCTAATATGCGGAAATGAATACAGACTTTTGTAAAAGTTTGCACAAAACCACTGTACTTCCAAAAAGGCACAGAGTGAAAATGATGGCCGGTGCACATGCACACCCATTCACGTCTTCACCAAAAGGGCTAGCCCAAGACTGCAGACCCGAGGAAGAGCGCTGTTTCAACCAGAGCTGCTAAGTGCCGGAGTCACACAAGTCACGGCGGAAGGGCAGATGGCGCCCAGGTAAGAAGCTCTTGTTATAGCTGGAGCAGCAGGGCTAAGACAAGTCCAAGCAGTCATTAAAAGCTTCTGAATTGGGCTGGAGAGATGGCTCAGCGGTTAAGAGCACTGACTGTTCTTGCAGAGGTCCTGAGTTCAATTCCCAGCAACCACATGGTGGCTCACAACCACCTTGAATGAGATCTGGTACCCTCTACTGGCATGCTGAAGATTGTATACATAATAAATAAATAAATAAATAAAATATTTAAAAAAAGCTTCTGAATTATGTGACTTGTCTTCCAACCCATGGCCAAAAACTTCTGGCTTCCAAAATCCAAAAGGAAAACATGGAATAATCAGTTCAAGGGAGGTCCTATTAAATAAGAGCAGCATAAAAAGCTGTAATAATGATGCAAGGAAAGCCTGAGCATGAAAGCTGTAATGCTTGCTACTTATTGGAGCTAGCCCTACACCAGGATGCAACATGTACAAGTACTGTTGCATTAATTACTTACGTTGCAGTTACACATCCCCCGTATCAGTGTATAGTTAAACCAGCCAACACCTCCATATGTGTAGGTTCCCCCTATCTTGTCAATTGTGATACAAAATATTCTTTGAATTTCTAACAAGTCTGGTCAGTACACTACTTATTGTCTTATTGTAGGCAGTGTTTTTAACTAAATTCTACTTTGCGTAACAGTATTTTCTAAAGAATGTTTGTTAGTAAATCCTTTTAGCATCAGTGTTACTATTTCAAGTTTCTCCTACATCAAAATGACTCAGATAACAAATAAACAAATCTATCAAGCAATATCCATGTTATATCCAACATTTTTGGTTGATACTTATTTTATAAAGCCTCTTTCAACCTATTTTCTGTTTTCAGCAAATGTTTATCATAACACATACATACATACACACACACACACACACACACACACACACATTGCCCTTGTATCAGGGGCATAGCAGAGTACACAATTTAAGATTACAGTTATGCATTATCTTAGATTGTAACATCTGACTACATGGGCAATCCAAGGCAAGTAGGGTTGGCTGTTGCATTGTTCTCCAAAAGGTTGGTCAAACAAACATGTTGAGTACACAGTAGGGCAGCAGTCCTAGGTCTTCAGTGATTGCAAGGTGTATTATTAACTCTGGCTGCAAGGTCCAGCAAATGTTCCAGATTCTTAGAATATAAGAGATGTTTTCACAGTATTTCTTCATCATAGGTAAGTTTCCAGGTTGAGTGGAAGGAGGAAGCAGAAGAAATAGAGGAGCTGGGAGATGGGAGGGCGAGGAAGTGAGTAATGTGCACTATCAGGAAGGACTTGGGCCACCGTGAATGTTTCCAGAACACCCAGTGGGCAAAGAATATGGCTTTGGAGGAGGCTGACCGGAGTTCTACAGGTTACTGACTGTGGTGGTTTGACAGAAAATGTCCCCCATAGGCCCACAGGGAGTGGCACTATTAGGAGGGTGGCCTTGTTGGAGTAGGTGCAGCCTTATTGGATGTAATGACGCTCCTTACAGGGCTGATGCTTTTGTTTGTTTCTTGTTTCTTGTTTGTTTTGTTTGAGATAAGATCTCCCTATTATATAGCTCAGGTTGTCCTGGAACTCACTGTGGCTGGTTTCGAACCAGCAGAGATCCTTCTGCCTTTGCCTCCTGAGTTCTGGGCCTTACAGGTGTGTGCCACCATGCATGGCTTGTTTCCTGCTTTTATTGCTATTGTTTATCTGTAGAAACTGCATTAGGATATCTATTCAACTGAATCAGGGCTTTCAATATCTATGCTTTTCAAGGTGTATTTTCATAAACTCAAGAAACATTTGTCAAAGTGCTTTATAAATTAGAAGATGAGTTGGGCGGTGGTCACACACACTTGGGAGGGAGATGAAGGTGAATTTCTGTGAGTTTGAGGCCAGACTGATCTACAGAGCGAGTTCTTGCATAGCCAGAGCTACACAGAGAAACCCTGTCTCAAAAGACAAACAGGTAAACAAACAAGAACAGCAAAATACAGAAATAACAAAACGAATCTGTGGGAAAACAATATTTTGGGTTATTAATCTGAGTTTATTTGTTCTTGGCTATCTGGTAGCCAACTTTTCTCAACCCTTCACAAGGGCAGCTGACTCCAAGTTCATGCTTCTGTAAAAGAATGTGGTTCCCTAGGGCAGCATTTAGCTGGCCCCCATAGAATGGTCACACTGGTTATTTCTGGTCAGCAAATGTTCTAAATGGTTCCTAGAACTGGTCAGTGCCCGTGCCATGCCGGTTATTCAGTATTTAGAGTGCTAATGACCACTGGGGCTGGGAGGTGGAGGAAATCTGAAGTTGATTAACCTGGCTCCAGGTGTGGGAGTTCAGATTTAGGAAGAGAATTAAAGTGGAAGAAAAACAGCTGTTTAACACCGCACATCAATAGGGCAAACTCACCTGAGACTAGAGAGAAGCCATCTTGTGGAAAAGAGATGGGAAGGACAATGGGAGTGGGGTCTAGGGTTCCTGAGATGCAGAGGCCTGCCCTCCCTTCTGGAAACACAGTTTGGGCAAGATCCCTGGAAGTGCAGTGGTGCACATCATCTCAGCACTCTTGTCCCTTGGTCATCTAGGGACTCCTTTATCTTTAGTTGGATATAGAGGTGACCGTTAAGCTAGCCTCAAAGAGGGCTGTGCTCATGCTGATGGTCCTCTGTGTCCACCCAAGCACGGCACAATGTGGTACAAATTTGCATGGGGGGAGGCAGGCTTCAGGGACTCCAGAGAGGACAGGCTTAGTTTCCCCTTAGCCCAGGGGAGTGCCTTTGTGAGATGGGAATTAGTTGGAACATGAATAACATTTCTTGAACATCCGAATTTATGCTAGTGATTATGCTAAAACTGTCTTTGCAACTTATAGCCAGTTTTAAGTGCTTTGTAATGGAATTTAGACTGACAATCATTAGGA